CCCCAAAACCCCAAAACCCCAAAACCCCAAAACCCCTTTAAGTGATTGCCTAATAGAATTTTTAGTCGTCTTTTTTATTAGCGTAATCCACGAGGACAGAAGGGCTATCTGTAATGATTCCGTCAACATATTTGCCAGTTGCAGTGTCCATATCTTGAACTTTGTTTAATGAGTAATAGAACACGTAGATACCTCTTCTTCTTAGGTGGAAGAAGATGAATAGACCCAATGCGTTGTAGATCTGGAGGATGAGGAGGTATAACTTGTGATACGGAGAGGTTCCGACATACTTCTTGGTGTAGTTGATGTACTCTTGATTAGGGAACGGGAACTGGAAGGTATCGTACGGGATGTTATAGAACGGAAGAAATCCCAAGAAGAAGTAGAAGAAGATTTTCTTGACAACTGCTGCAGGAGTAAATGTAGGGATTTCTGGCGCCATTGCACGACAAGTCAGGCAATGCTGCTCATCCACACTACCCCATATTGTTAACTGCTCTCTTTTATATTTACGGATTAGCTTAAGAACTTCTACTTTCAACTCCTGGTCATTTACCTTGAGTTCCATGTTAAAAGGAGTATTAGGGAATGCTTTCATGACATCTTCTAGAAGAGGAATCTGCCTGTCATCTTCCTCAGTAGTTTGATATGTCAGAGATGAGAAGTGAATCTCAACTTTTTCTTGCAGTTTAGGCAACTGTGAGTATGTAAAATCTTGAATTTTTTTATCGACTCCGCAAAGCCTTTGCAAATTTTCATCATGTCAGACAACAGGTCTCTTATCTTTAGTAAGTCTGATATCCATCTCTAAACATCTCGGTTAAAATTTTTGCAGAATTTAAATTCAAAACTACTTCAGCTTGGAACATTTATAAAGTAAATCAATCAATCAATAAAGCTACCTAAGACTTGTATTCCATTATCTAGTGCTTTCTTAAAAGTAGGAATAGTATTCTCTAAGCCTTCTCTTGGGCCTCCTCTATGTGCAATTGTCCAGATTCCTGCTACTCTCTTAATTCCAGGTCTAAACTCTCACCTCACTAACTTACTTAAACGAGTTTCTGATATGAAAAACTGGCATGATGAAGAACAGCAATGACCAGATCCAATAGACTAGGTAGAAGAACAGTAATTTGGAGAACACGAAGCAGATTACTTCCCACATTATTTTAAAAAATCTATTATTTTGGGAAGACATGGGGTTTTGGGGTTTTGGGGTTTTGGGGTTTTGGGG